TGCAGAAAGTACTACAGCAGGCACCAGCTGGATGTAAGCCGACAACCTTGTGAATGCTGGAAATGGTTTGGGTTAGCTCTGCCCCATAGCCAGATCCCATTTAGAACCAGTAAGGAAGGCTTTGTGTGGGCTGGCTTCATCCGTATTGTGCTCACCAGAAACAAGACAAGCAGTCATCTAGGAAGTAATTGCCTGACTCACCTCACGTGAATTGTTGTAGCAAGGAGATGCTGAATCTCCTCTCTGTGAGAGCAGAGAGACCTGAAGATGGCCAAGAAAAGGTCATATCAAGCTGTGGCAAGCTGCCCTTCCTGTTGCTACTCATCCAGGACAGGTTATGAGCTCTGCTTCAACTCCAAACGTGAGTGAGCTACTTCCAGGTGTTTCCTAGTGATACCTGTGCACTGAAACAGACCATGATAATGTCTGGTATACCATGGGGCAAATCAAATTTCCAGCTCAAAGGATGTTATTTTCTTTAATCTTTTTCTTTTCTTTTCAGAGCATTTATTATTTTGCTTTTCAGCTGCTCAGCATTTTCCAGCCTGGAAGCAGGTCCCTGGAAAAGATAGAGCTGAAGCTCAAGCAGTGTAGAAACTCACTTCCGTGCAAGTGGCTGTTTCCTCTTTAGGGATAATTGTAAGTCTGTACTTCACAGCAGAAGGGAAAGATGCTTTCTATTTAAAGCAGAAGGATTAGGAGTTCAGGAAAGGAGAATGAAGAAAGAGGGAGGAAAGGTTCTTGGAGATGCAGGGAGTTGAGAGTGGAGATAGGCTGGCGTTTGGCAGACAAGAAATTACACAGGGCAATTTGTGCTAAGAACTATTCTGACCCATTTTAAATCAGTTCTTTAGAGTCTCCCCTGAGGTACCACAGTAATTTCCTTCAGCTTTTACTCAAAGGCCAGACTCTCCTTTAGGCAACTTCTTTTTCACGGGTTGTTTGGGTTGATCTTAAATGGCAATTGCATTACCAGTAAGACCAGTTTCCTTTATTCCTGCCAATCAGCATGCTACAAACTCTGTTACCTGCCAGAGAACACAAGGTTCCTGCCTGGGGCTTTTGTTTCAGCAGCTTTTAAAGCCCCAAGTCCCATGTAAACTTGATGCCATGGCCAGATCCCCAGCTGGGCTGTCTACCACACCTCACAGCAGCCTTGTACAGCAATTCAAAGAAAAGCCTGTTTGGCCTCAGCTCAGGGCTGCAGAGCAGGATGCTCTTTGTCCTGGGTCAATCTGAGCACTTCACTAAGGGGCCACTGTCCAAAATGTACCTTTGTGTGTTTAGCCTTTCCAGGTGCCATGTCTCCACCAGAAAGCACTGCTTTTCTATGGCATTCTGAGGATCTTGCCTTTTATTCCTTCCTCCATTATTTTAAGCAGCACTTGTTCAACTGTTCTTGTCGGGCATTTCTAGTTGTAACCCAAAAAACCATGTCTCATTGCTTGGGTTCTGTAGCTGGGGGATTGAAGCACCCTTGTTCCATGTATTTGCATTGTGTATCTTTCAGTTGCACTACATCTATGTCCATGTGCATGATGTTCAGAGAGATCAGACTGCTGATCACCTTGAACACCTTCTTATTTCCCCTTTCCCTCATTTTCCTCTTAACTAAGTGATGCTTACCTGCCCTTCCCCTTTGCAGCATGTCTGAAAAACAAACCCAGACAAACAATGGTTTGCTTTGCATGCATTTTCTCTTCTTTCCTAAGAAACCACAGAGACAAACCCCACAGTCCCAGAGCAAAGCAAGAAACCCTGCAGTACAAACAGCTAAAAGTATTTCTTACAATAGTCATCTTGTTATTCACATATTTGTTCCCAGCCTCCCCATCTAATTAGACTCTGAATCCCATATTCACTTACATTGGCAGATAGCTCCATTGTGTTCATGTTTTGGGTCTGTGACTATCTGCAGAGCTACAGTATAATCCCATTTATGCTTTTGGTAGGCAAAACCAAAGAGAAAGGAATGCCCAAGTGAGGAGGAGCCTATTTGCAAAGACTGAGGATGGCCAAGGCAATTCTAATGCGATTAATGCTATGGACTCAAATATGATGCAGAGCTCAAATATGGGGCAAAGACAGAAAACCATATTCAGTCCATAGATCTGTTGGATCACCTGAGGCAGGAACTAGGCAACTACAATGCAATCCAAAGAGAAGTTACTGGATGCTAAAGGAAAGAATATCACTGGCAGAATCTGTAGATTCAAGTGGAAACATCAGTAGGATATGAGAAATACAACAGAGGCAGGAGGAGTATCCAGCAGGTTGTACAGTGACTTGGATTATCCATGTTTCAAGAGCTTCAGTGAGCTGCTGTTTCCACATGCAGACAAAGCTGAGGGGAAGAGAATCAGATCATACATGAGCTGTCTCCTGTGCTTGTGCAACATGAAGTAAGCAACCCTGCAGCAAACCTGGAGCAAATGTGGCTGTTTCTTCATGGCTCAGATAAATTAGGGGCTTGCAGAGAAGCCAAGACATGCTCAGGAGGAGCAGACTTTGGGATGCAGCCACAGAATCGCCAGTTCCGTAATCGATGCAAGGCATTTGGCATGACAGCTTCTCAGCTGGATTTGTGAGCTGGGTGTTGGCCAACCACTATAGCTCCAAGCATGTTAGTAGGGATGTGGTCATAAATCAGTAAGCTCCCGGCCCAGCAGCAGGTTCAGTACCAAGGACCACACCAACTAACATGAATGCTCAGCAAAGAATGTTGGGGGATTACCCCCGAAGCATGATATAAGCATAACAAATGAGAGAGAGAAAAATGCCTGAACAAGCCTTTAGGATAAACCTGAGTTCTCTTCTCCACAGATTTGAGCAGCTACATCTACCTTCCTCACAGCTGAATATCTGTCCCAGTATCAGGGTTGGGTTTATTGCTGCTGCATCTTCACAGATTCGAAAGTAAAACTGAATTCTATCAAACCAGATGACTTGATTTTCATTAAGGGCAAAGGGGAAGAGGGGAGGAGGAAGCTGTGAGAAAGCAGCACAAAAATTAAATGATCTGAAAAGAGATGAATTGAGAACATTTTCCTCTAACTCCTTTCCTGTTTCCCTGCCACGTGGAAGGACGATAACATCTACATCTGAGGGAGAGAAGCAAGCGTGCTTCAACAGCATGTGCAAAATCCATTTGCCATTCCGGCATGAAAGGGCCTATTGGGATGTGTGGCATTAACTGAGCTTTTATCTGATACCCTGCGAACTTCTGAAAGTCACTTTTTACCCACAGCAGGGTCAACAGCCACGAGTGGTGTGCTTGAGATTGGGCTGTGCTGCTGGCACAAAGATCGCATCCTGGCATCGTGTCTGGTACAGAAATAAACTTATAAGCTTAGGGTTTCTCTCCTGTTGCTTAATGCATTAGACAAAACAGCAGCCAAGAAAGAACCCTGATGTGCCATGGACCAACACAAGAGGAGCTAATGCCTAGAAACTAAGGAAATTCTGGCTCCCTAGTCTTGGCCTATTTGGTTTTTAAAATGCAGCATGCAAATTACCTTGATTTTTAAGAGCTGCTTCAGGGACCTGCACTGGCTCAAGGGGCTGATAAGAGACCACAAAACCTTTCCGCCCTTAGGTTAGAAGCAAACCTGCCCTGCTTTGTTAACAGCAGGATGTCACAGGGGACTGATAACCTTGTAATTGGCATGCAAGTTTTAGGCTGCACAGTACTAAACCTGTAATAGGGGGATTGTAAAGGAGGCAGCAGCATCAATTATTGATCCCAAATAGAATTAATAAAGAATGAACATTTACTACAGCTGATAAAACGTTCCATGCAGGAACTTTATCCTCAGTACAGCAGCAGAAACAAGACAATAACATGCAGGGGTTGTTTAGCATCCCCTTCATGCCAAGCAAGACATGATGCCTTGTTTCTCACAAGGCAGAAGACTATGGAGCTGCCCAGGACACACAGTTGGTTTCCATCACGCAATCAAATTTGAGCCGTGCAACTATCTGATTCAAGAGCTGGGTTTCAGTGCCATTGCCCACCCTTATAGCTCATATAGGGGGAAGCGACCTGCTGTTCTGCCCCTTTGCAAGCCAGCTGCAGATCTGCAGACAGACCTTGAAGCAGGCTGCTCTGCACCAGCAGAACTGGCCACGTTCTCTCCTCAGGTAAATAAACCCTCTGCTCAGAAGGCAGTGGTGAGGTTTAGGTGAGGGTTGAATAAGGCAGCTGAACCTGAAAGCACATGCAGGCTTGTTGTTAGTCGGGGAAGCATAACCATGTCCTATTGGAAGGGATGAGTGGCACTTGGGTTTGGTGGGGTGCTTTAGTGAGCTTTCAGGAGAAGCTGTCTTTCCCCTTGCCATAGAATTTCAACAGCAAACCTCTCCGGGTATTATTGAGTTTCAAGGCTGCACTGTGTTCAGGCACAGGATTTCTCTCTTTTGAGGTTAAGATGATATCTCATTTAGTTTGGATAGAGAATTGCTTCCCCAGGCAAAGCCTCACTGGAGACCACAGTCTCTGCTTGCTGTGGACATTTCCAATGATGATACTTTTCTTACCCCATCCTTTTGGTGTGCATGTGCTAGCACCCACCTAAATATTGTCATAAATTAACCCCCATCCAGTAAAGCTCTGATAAGCAGAAGAGACCAGATTAAGGATAAAGGACTAGACTGCATCAAGTCTGTGCAATTCTGTTGAAGTTACTCTGGTTTACACCACCTGATGGTGTAATGCAAAGATTCTCCCATTGCCTTGAGTCAGGATGTTTTATGACCTAGTTCTATTTATTTGCACCCAAACTAAACTAACCTGCATTACAAATTATGGCAAAGGGAGGGGGTATTATTCTCCTTCTTCCAGAAAACTTTGCATTCATCAATGTTAATTGTAATCGGCCGTGCGCTCCCATAAATAATCAGATATATTGCTGAGACACAGAATAAATCCACCCAAATTATGGTAATGAGTAGGGTTCTGAAAAAGTTTAATCAAAATTGTGATAGCGAATCACAATGAGCAGAAAACTGCCAGTTCTTAAAGCTCCCCTGTCTGCAGTCATCACAAAACCCCTAAACCCAGGAAACAGTGGAGGCTTCAAGGGCTGGATGTTGGAAATAAAATCAGCAAGGCACTAGTCTCCTCTATGTATCTTCAGGACTATATTTATGTTGCCATCAGCATGGTGACAGGGGTGCCATATGTCTTGCTGCTGCTTAAACAGGACCCTAGGAATGATGGATAAGCACAGGATAACAAGGCTTTGGGCATCTATACTAGACATGGTTTTATACTGCCCTCCTCCTAACAACCTTCCTATTGCACAGCAAAGAGCAGCAGTCATTACGTTGCTTGGGCTTTTCCCCCTTATCCTGTAGCTCCAAACAGCAGTTTCAATACATCACTCCTGCTAAAAGCTCTGTCTTTCAGATCAGCTCCCATTTCCTCTTACAAAGATGGGTGCTCCACAGGGTGGTCTCCCCTCTACATATCTAGGGGCAGAAACTCCCTCAGTCCTCACATCTTGGGGGATAAAACAAAAGCTACCATTGCATCCTCCTGCTGCCATTGTTGCTACACCCGTAATAGCTGGGAACTGCCCATGTAGACAACATTCCCAACCGGTTGCTGTGAAGTAGATGATGGGATTGTAATTTCATGTCTTACGTTGTCAGGGAGTAACTGTAAACTCAATTAAAAGCTGAGACCAGAAGAAAGAAAAGAAAGAAAGAAGAGGGGGACGTGTGTATACATATATATGTATGTCTGTGTGTGCCTGGGACAGAAATGATGATTGGTGTCCCTGTGCCCCACAATAGGAAGTATCTGCTTTTGATGAGAAAAGGGGGATTCAGAATGAGCTGAGGAAAACCAGCAGCATGACTGGGAAGGAATCCAGCTGACAAATTACATTGAGAACAGATCCTTCCAGGCGCAGGAGGCAGCGAGTTGCAGTTCTGATTGAATAGACTTGTTAATAAAAATACATTGAACAAAAAATGAAACGGCGAGCAAATCCTTTCAAATAAGATTTCAGTCCTGACTTAAACCCATGGCTTCGTTTCTGTGCTCCCCCTGTCCTTGCTCACTCAGCAGGACAACAGAAGAAAGTAAAAGAGGTGCAAACAGACTGAAGCCTGTCATGTGTCCCCCCCCAAGGATATAGATGGGGAGCAGAGGTGTGGAAGGACGTAAGCCACAGCAGTCTAAAACATCTTTTTCTTCCCATTGCCTTAAAGTTAGAGCTTGTTTTCCTGGAAGCAGAGGCAGCAAATCTTGGTCACTGTATTATATACCTAGCTCTGTCCCATAATAGGACAATATTGCATCTTTATAGCAGCAATGTTGGTCTCAGCCCTTTGTTTCTTCTGCTCATTTTCTGCTACATCAGCACCCTAGAGGTCCACGCCAGGTCCCTACTATCTTGTATAATGGGTAGAGAGCTCTGTTAGCCAAGAGCACGAGCTCCATCAACTCGTGTTGGGGCAGCAAGAGAGCTCTCTTTATGGTGACACTTCCTGAGTAACTTGCTGGGGACTCTATAAAGCACCAGCCTAGCTTTGCTTCCTTCACATTACTTCTTGGACCACTGTTTTCCTACCTTCTTTGGCGCAGAGACATGGTGAGCACCACTGGAGGGCCCACGTGTTGTTTGAAGGAGTCTATCCTATATTTGCCACCCCCTGGAGTTAAAATATAATGAGATTTATAAATAATAAATAAATCAGCAATTCTTTTTCATGTCTTTAAAAAGGCTGTTCTCTAAGGCTATAGAGCCTTTAGAATTTCTAATGGAAGTACAAGGGGGGAGCTAGAGAGTGTTTCTTCTTCATTTTCAAGCTACGCACATGATTTGTGGAGGTGAAGCTATAAGAAAAGAAAAATCAAGGAAATGAAATGTGATGAAATCAACTCTTTCAGTCCAGTACAGAGGAAAGAAAGAAGGAGAAAAGTGGACTAAGTTTTGCATGGAACCTCTTAAGAGAAACATTTACATCCCCTAGACAAACAGATCAAGCTTTTTTAATGCATCTATAGCATGGCAAATCTGAGCAACTCCTTTACATGCAACAGGGTGTTGAAAACATGAGCTCAGTGTCTGACAGATTGATAAAGAGGGAGAGTAAAGAAACTGAGAGGTACGTATTAGCTTGGGTCGTGTGAGTCTTTCTGTGTTGGGGAAACAGGACAGACTGCCTTTAGGGTCATTCAGTTCAATGTTCAGGGGGTAGGGTAATAATACAAATCCCACCCTATCTGAAGGACTGATATACTAGCAAATAGACTGATACTCAAGCAAAATATCATGGATGAAACTAGTGCATCTGAGTTGAGGAACAGCAAAAGAAAAGCCAATATCACACCCCCAGGTTCCGTCTGAGCAAAGCCTGCTCTGCCTTCTTCCTTCCTAATGAGGCATTTTACAATGCTGATGGGAAAACTCCCTGGTGGAATAGAAGCACCAAGGTGGGAGCTGGGGATACACTAAAATTTATATACAGCAAGATGAAGGCAGGCACACAGGAAGGGAAGCAAAGGTGCAGAAATGAAAGGGAATCAGGTTGACTTGCTCTACCGCACAGACCTCGACATTTGCTGTGTCTGTTTACATCCATCACCCCTTTGTCCCCCCTAGAGAAGCCAGACCAATACAGACCCATGTTTTTTATTTACTAGAACCTTCTATTCGGTTGCCCCTGGTCCAGCAGAGCTTTTTTTGCCTTTGTTTTCCCAAGCACCAGAACAACACTGCTAATCCTACACAATAATATTAATGTAATCAATATGATTATGCCCATGAGAGAACGTCAGCCACTGTAAAACAACACAGCCAAAGGGATCCAGTAAGAGAACAAAAACAAGGACAGGAGATTATTTTTGGATTCGGTTTGTTCCTCTGTCATTTCTTATGCATTTTTTCTTAGCACTATGTAAAATAGGAACAGATAGAGCAGAATTCTTGGGCTCTGCTAAAGAAAGCCAGCCTTTTGTTAAGGCTAAATACCAGAAGCTCTAGCTTAAGTATTTGTTCTTCAGGCAATAGGAAAAACATACCCAAAGCTATGACTTCCTCGGTGAACCCCAGGTAAGTGCTGCCCAAGCTGCCTGTCAGTCAGTGTTTGGCTGTGTAATTCTCTGTATAGTACCACTCTGACAGGGGAGATAGTCAAACTGAGCCTATTGCTGCTTGGCTGCACTGTGCAGGCAGAGCAGAATCTGAGTATTGCTGTCCCAAGACAGCCTTTCTATGTGGACTGTGAATGATCAGCACAGAGCAGAGGCCTCACTTATAGACGACAAGCACTAGTATTTCTTTACACTTGAAAGGGCTTGGAACAAACACAGAACAAGCAGAGCATCTGCGGTCTTGACAGCACTGCCCCACAGAACTCCAAGTGATTTTCTCGTGCTCCCACAGCCATACCTGGATAAGAACTTGGATGCTGCACTCCCACTCTGAGACTGCATTTGTGGGATGAGTCATTTCCTGCCAATTTAGGACAACCTGGGGTTTGCTTTTGAAGGCATGGAGTTTTCTTCCTTGAGTAGTGCAGAATGCAGGAGCTGGCAGGGGGGCTTGGCCGCACGTACAGCTGTGTCTGCACTTCGTGTTGCTAGGCGGGTTCTTACAGCATGATCCTCACTCTGATAATAGCTACCAGCCACCCTGCACACAGTCACATTGCTCAGAAAACTTCTGTTTAAGTTCCCCTTTTGGGGGTCAGCATGTCCCAGTCGGCACAACCAGTCCCTTCAGTCTTTGCCTTCGCTTCATCTCTTTAAATCTCCCAGTGCTCCTTCTTCTAAAAGCTCTGAGATGGTCCCCAGAGGCCGTACAAGAAATTGAATGAAGATTAAAATGCTGATCCAGAGCTGCTAATACCCCTCAGGAATTACACTAACATCCACTTGGAACGAGTCCCATCTGGATAACAGCAAGAAGTGCTCAGGAACAAGCCCTGAAGGTTAGTCAACATAAGAGCTTTCTTTAGAGCTCATGTCCTCTTTGACTTTCACCCCTTTTCCCTGGTATAGCCTTGAGACCAGACGCAGTAAAGCTCTGACAGGGATCACAGACCTTTAGCCAGGTAAAAGCTGCCCCTGGTCTCAGGGCTGTATGAGCCATGGAGTAAGAAATGCCTGGATGCACTTCCAAGATGCCAACACAGGATGTGCAAGTGTCTCATGCACGACTGGTCAAGTCCCCTTGCCTCACTGAGAGGAGGAAGGGTTACAGCACTGCTAGGAAATCAGTGCCATTTAAGAAGGGCTGGACTCACACTGCTCAGAAACAGGGGGAGCCACTCAGGTGAGCAGGAGAATTTGGGTTGCCCCTTAAATAGTATTGTAAGCATAAAGAGCAAGGTTCAGCCCTGCCCGTGGAGATACCTCTGGCACAGCATCCTCACCCAGTGACTGTAAAACAGCAGGGAGAAATGGAGACTTCATCAGTGTGGTTCAGCTCCTCCTGAGATGAGCTCTTTGACTGACTCACCCCCAGTTTCGCTTTGGACAATGTTTGGTGCTCTACTCCCTGCTTCTGTTGTGCTTCTGCCCTCTTTCCTATCTGCAGGCAGGTCACTATTTGCTTCACCAGTTCATCACATTCTCTTTTAATGCCTTTGTTTTTATCATGGATTTTTATGTGTGCGTGCACTTGTTAAATCGGGGCAGGAATGTGTTTGAACGTCTAGCCAGATTAGCCTGGGTTTTATTTCTTCTTGCTGAGACGTGCACGCCAGCCCTGGCTGACATTATATTAGTTGTTCCTGTTCCATTATCCATTTACAAGGAAGTGGGGGTGCGTGAAATGAAGAAAGCCTCGTATGCCTTGCAAACACGTTTCATCTCCCCTTTGATTCCTCCCCAGCCTGTTCCAGAATCAACAGCCCCTTTGAGCTAGTAACCCTGATGTTTCTTGCCTCTCCCTGTTATCATCCCTGTCTAGGACGTTACTGATTTCCTGCTCTATCCTCCACCCCAGGCCCTCCTAATTTCTCCTTTCCTCCCTGGCCTGCCAAGGTCACCCCCTCAGCACCCACATTGTGGGCAAAGAGCTTTTTGTCTCATATCCTTCTCTTCCCTGTATACCCAGCCCTTGGCATCAGCCCAACAATCTGCAGTCATGGGGTTCAGGTCTCCATCACCCCACTAAATTCCTGCTAATCCCAATGCCCACAGGTGAGATGTGCCACTCTGGCTCTGATAGCCTGTGTTCTCATCCACAACCAGCTATCTCCAAACTCTTAGTCTATACAGTAATACTGCAGTTTATAGGGTCAGGATGGGGTGAATCTGGGATGCAGCAGAGAGACCTATGGCAGTGGCCTGATTGCACCTTCCTTCTTTTGGGAGTAATAAAAGTAGCAGGTACCAGGTGCCTCTTGCTGCCTTTCTGTGCTGGCAGGTTATTTATATGCAAATTTCTTGCCTGTGTTTGCTGCTTATACACAAGATAACAAAACCTTCCATGGAGATGGAGATGGGGATGGGGGAGAGGCATGCAAGAGCCTTTTGATCCAGCCAGGAGAGTTAATACAGTATTATTCACAACCAATTAAGACTTTTTCAGACAGGAAGGGATAACTGTATACTGAGACACAGTTTGCTAAAGTGAGATTGCAGCTGGGGCTTGGGGAAAGCAGAGGAGAAAAGCCCCTAGAAAAGTATTCAGTTACAATTAGACCATATGAGGATCAAAGAAACACCTTCTCTGTGACATCTGTCTTTATTTGCTGTGATGCTATGTGTATCCCCAGTGTCTGGACCCTGCTTGAGTTAGAGCGTTATGTAGCCAAGTGCATTGCCAGTCAAGTTACCTGGAGCCCTCTCACAGCCATGTCCTCCCTCTGTGCCTTTGCAAAATAAGCTTTGATTAACTGAAATGCAGACGCTTTAGCATCCTTAGATAACAAGTATTAGTATGGCTATGAGAACAGTAGAATCACGGATCTGAAGAGGCCACATTTACCAATGAAAACCCACTTTCTACCCAGAATAGGCTGCAATTTCTCTATGAGCAAAATTGTATCATATTTAGAGCCCATAATATTGAGTTAAATCCAGAGAGGTCCTGGGTCCTTAAAAAAACCCTCTTAGATACCCATTACTGCTGAGAGCAGCATCTGCATACCCTGCTCTCAAACTAGCATTAGCATTAAGTGTTGAACGCTACAGGTTTTGTTGCCTGGGTTTTTTTTCTGGGAAGGCAGGAACAGAGAAGATGGAATTTCCTGGGAGCGATGATTTATCTCTTCCGGTAGAAAATGAGCAGTTCATGACTAATGCCATCAGCTCCCTGGAAATCAGGGCTGCTTTCCAAGGGTGCAAAACCAAGAGCTTGTATCCCTCCGCTCTCAGGCCAGTGCACATCCTGCAGGCACCATAGCTCCATACTGGAGTGAACCACTTGGCCTCACCACTATCTCTCAGGCTTTACCTGTTGCCTTCACCAGTTAGGCAGATGCTACCTCCGGATCTCACCTGGACACAGGGATGAGCGGGGCAGTGAATACAAGGACTTGTGTGCTTGCTGCTCTGTGTAAGCAAGGAAAAGCAGCCAGGCAGAGGCTTTGCTGCTGGCTCCTGCCTCCCTCCAACCCTCAAGGGGCCATTCCTGGTTTTCCACCCCTCCTAAGAGGAGATGCTGATGGGTCAGGCACATCAGGCGCTGTGTAAGCCTGCCAATCCCTCCCTCTGCTTTCCCAAAGAGGAGGACTAGAGGCACTGCCTGTCACAGTGGATGTACCTCACCATGACAGACCCTGTCAGCTCTCGCTTCTCCTCTCTTGACAACATCAGGAAGAGGCTTCATAGAGCCTCAGGCACTTCAACCTGTCTTCCTTTCCAGTGCCTGCCACTGCTGTCTAAGCAGGGAATGGTAGAAGGAAAGAAAGAGGATGAGAAAAACTACTCCAAGAGGAAGGGAAAGACCAGCAGAAGAGCTCAGTGCAATAGAGCAGCACCGTTGATCAGCACATAGAAGCCAAGACTAAGCTCAGAAGCACAGTTTTCCCTCTGACCAGCTCCAGAACATCAAGCCTATACTAACAAGCCAGACAGGCAGCCCTGCTCCTTCCTCCACTGCATCCTCCTGCCAGCCTCATTTCCTGCTCTGCTCAGCAAACAGAATGGGACCTCAGCAGTGCTTAAATAAACTCTAGGCCTGATTTGACTGCAGCTTATGCCAGGCGAGGTCAGCAGCCCTACCACAAAAGCTGTGTTGGCGTTACCTCCACCTCCATCCTGCTCATCCAAGCACCTGCTCCTGTTTGGGCTCCATACTCCTATGGCCAGCCACACCGCTGCTCGGCTCTGCCAGTTGGCCAAATCCCTGCCTTGGGGCTTTGGAACTAAGACATTGGTTGTAATTTTCTGTTTGCTGGTGAAGCACTGGCAGGGGCTGAGCACTGAATCTGCTGCTTCCAAAGAGGATGTGATGATGGCTATGGGATCCACCCATCCTCAGGAAACCCTGTTTTCAATTGCAGTTTTAATTACGGATTAAATCAGGAGTGTTGGTGTGAAGTTAAGTCCCCCAGCCAGGCTGACACAGGCAGCTGTTTTGGTTTACTCATTTCCTGTCCTCCCTTTACCTCTTGGCTGCTGAGTTATTGATGTGTCTTCCAAAGACATAGTGCTGCCAAGCCCTAAGACGCTTATTATATCATTTGTTTGGCATTTTTGAGCTTTCTCATGGTCCAAAGAAGCAACCTGCAAACATGCACAAAGCCAAATCCCTGTTCCCCTTCACAGCTCCAGAAAAACATCCTTGCAAAGAAACCAGTGAAGCAGCAGCTTTACCTGGGGGCTGCATCTCTAGCCCATCGTGATAAACTACCCTTGCTCCTTGCCTCATTTCTGCCTGTGTTCATTCTTTATCTCTGGGCATGTTTAATTTAAGCTGTCTGAGAAGACCACCTTCCTTCTGAGCACTTATTCCTCTCTGATCACCATAGGGATTGAACTACCCCTAAAGCTCCTAAACAAAACCACTATACAAGCGAGATACTTAACTCACTACAGTAATCCCGTTATAACAACATCACCAACTCCAACAGCACTGAGATCTAACTTGGCCTGAAACCTCTGTATTCAGGTATTCCCTACCTCTCTTCTCTTTTAAACCCTTGCCTCATCAAAGCTAGGAGTGTACTTTGGGGACTACTCCAGATTTCAAGCCTGCTTTAGCACTTTAACTCCTTGTGACAAAGGACACATGAATAACTAAGGAAGCTCTCATTTCCCACACATCTCTAAGTGGAGGAGAAGAGAATCTGGGTCCTGAGACCATCCTTCATGATTCAGATCACCTCACCGTCTCCAGCCCATGCTTTCTGGTGAGAGAAGAGCTTTAGCCTCACAGACAGTGTCCCAGGGACACAAACAGGGATTTCACATAGCTACCTCTATCTGTTTTCTATGGAGTGATACTGAAACAGAGAGCTTATGGCAGAACGGATGGTTTGTGGGGCAGAGGAGCCTCCTCTCCAGCCTCTGGTGCGAGTCAGACCTTCCCACCTTTGACACATGCAAGGAGAATGGATAAAGCCCTCTCCCCGGACTCACTCAGCAGATGCCAAGTGGACTGCAGCAGGGCATAAGCAGGCAGAGGGAGCAGCAAATGAGTCTGACTAGCTCCATTTGCTATCCTGGCGAGTGACTTCCCCTGCAGAGATAGAGGCTGTGATCTCTGGAGGAAACTGTCAAATACTACTAGGAGCTGCACAGGGATTTATGCTGGCAGGGGCACAATATTTCACTTCGATGACTCTTGCTTTCTTAATATTTTAATCATACTGTTAACCTCCAGACTTGAGAGACACAGGCGGCTGCCACCCTTCCCACTGTGAAGCCAAGCCCTGCAGCACACACCACGCTGACAGCGCTCCGCGCAGCACACGCAGCTCGCGTTATCCCGGCTCATGCATCACAGCGCGCATCACGCCAGAGACCAACTGGGTCCCATTTGTCTTCCACCAAATTCAGTGGTGCTCATGCCTCAGAAGAGGAACACCGAGGAAATAGGAAAGAAAGACAAGGTCAAGGCAGCCAGGGCTGCAGAACTCACTTCTGCATTCCTTAATAACTTAAATGCCACGACACACTTGCTTTCCAGCCCGTCCCATGCTGCATTCTTATGAATGAATGGTGAGAAAGGCAAGAACCCCTGAGTGTTCAATCCCACATAGGATTGTTTTTGCCTAACAAATTCCCTGCTATTTCAGTGACTTAGGAAATGTATGTCCTTGATCTGTTTTGCTTTCTTCCCTCAGGTTACTTTAGCTTGGGAGATTTTGGGTTTGTTTTAACTCTATTATCCTAGAGTACTCATATCCTAGGGAAACGCTTCCAAGACTTGCGCATACAGAGATTTTCACAATGCTTGTGGACACATTTGTTATGGGACTGCATGCTTGCAGTATCTGATAAGGCAGATGATTTCTTCTAATCCAGGGTCCTGTGTCATATTAAACTGAAAATCTACACTGATCATATCCAGGTGGTGTGTTCAGCTGATGCTCATTCTGTATGCAAGAGTAACCAGGCTAACTCAAGAGATGTACAATGGATATGAAAGAGGAGCCCGTTCTACAGAAAAGTACTAAATGCTTTCTTAACCCTGTAATTCAGAGAAGAACGCTGTAATGAGTTTTCCAAATCTAAATAATAGTCTTTTCTCAGAGGAAGAAGCAAGCAAATGCAAGCCCCAAACAGGGGGTATTACAGAGCAAGTCGGAAGGCAATAACAAGACATCCCAGGCTGCTCCTCAGCCTGTCAACTGGGTTATGCCCCATATTCTGCATGACAGGCGATTGCAGGCAGGTGTCTGGCCGATCACAGGAGACAGGGTGATAAATCCTTCCTGCCACTGACTGCACTCCTGCTCTTCGCCACTGTATTTTGACAGGGAGAGAACTGAACAGTGTCACTAACAGACAGAGAAGGAATTATAAGGTTCATTTAGAAGGCAGTAAAGAGGGAATTTTCAATTTCCTTTTAAAATCACAACATAATAATTCTTTCAGTGTTTCAACAGGGGAGCAGGAGCCAATGGGACCTCAAAGCATTTCAGTACTGGGATGGGTCCCTATGCTGTAGTTGAGAGCTCAGCTTGGAGACCACAGTGGGCAGAGGAATTCAGGCAAACAGAAGGGTTGGTGCACATTTTTAACACCTGCAAAGCTAAAACTATGGCCTCTTTATACTGAAGCATATTACAAATGGGTAAGGAAAAGACCCTTTTCCTTAAGGAGTATAAGGAACAGGACATTGTACTATCACTGGGAAACAAAGCCCTGAAGACACAAGATGACATGACCAAGGCCTTGTTGACAACCTGTGGCAGTACAAAGACTGGATTCCAGGTTGGGCTCAGTTTTAGTGTGAATGTAAAATCAGGCTTCTGTGCTGTGTGTATAAGCATATGTATCGTATAAAAGTCTAGTGTGTGTACGTGCTCACTCATCAGTGGACTGTAGGGAGGGTACATGTGACAGCATTAAAGTCCAAGTTCTGCCATTAATTCCTGTTGGTTCCTTGCATGAAACGACTGTGATTTCAGGAGCATTCCTAGAAACCTGGAGCAGGTATTAAGCACATATGCAAGCATTGATTCATGTCTTTAAGTCAGTATAGATTGGTTTGCATGAGCGAGGACAAGGTCCTGGAGAGGAAATGAATACATCCGCATGCCAGAATTATGGAGTCACCAATGGAACAGGCACATAAGGAAAGTATACCTTTGCAGCGTGCTAAGCAAAGTAATCACAGGCTTTCTCGGTTAACTGTTTTCCTATTCTTCTTTCTATCACCATGTAAATAGCTACAAACTGGCCTCAGCTGGATGTACAGGGAGCTGATTGATGCAATCAACTTATATGTAATTAGTGACCAAAGCAATAAAGGCAGTCTCCTAATGTTTCGTCGGGATCTGATAATGATGCATACATAATAGAGACATACACATAGCACTTTCACACACATATATTCACAGTTATGCCCATGGTTACATGAATAAGAGCCATGAATAGTCCTGAAGGCTCTAGTTTGCTGTTGTGTTACAGGTTTTGGGGGTATGCCAAATGCTGATTGCTCCTACAATGCAACAGTTCCTGTTTGGATCAGAAAGGACACACAAAAAATGTATTAACTGTTACTTAAATTCATTGTGCAATTTCTACTGTTTTCATTTATTCTATTTTATATCAGCATATTTTTCCATGATACGGACAAGATATTCATTTGCTAAAGCTAAGTGTGATGCCACAGAAATCAATAGCATAATGATAAAGTTTCTGTAGCTTGGGATCTGATTCCCAATCTTTTATCTGAATTACAGTATTGATTGGTGGAAAAAAATGAATTACACATAATACAAGACAATTAAATGGTATGCAATTAGCAGTAAGCCTCAAGATGACTGAAAGACCAAGGAATAGACCTCAGTAATCAGGTTTTGTTCCTACTTTAAGGGATATAAACCCTTAATCTCAGCACTCAGGCCAGCCTCTAATTGGTGTATGTTAGGAACACACTTTCCCTATGAGCAAACGGTCCTAATTACCCACTGGTGACTTCCCCTCCAGCATCTGGAGCAATTTATTGTGGGAGGTAGATACTGCTCTGGTATACCAATGGTTTGATCTTCTAAGGCTATTTGTCTGGGAAAATAGCCAGGCTTGAATACCAATTATCTCATTAGAAATCTGGACTAACTCCATTGACTTTATTGTGAATGGTTAAATTTGGAATAACTTTCATACACTAGGTTCATCCAGTCTAAAATGCAAATTGAGGACAATATATTTCAGTCTAAACTAGAAGGACCTCTAATACCAGACCACTGGGAATAGAACGAGAGAACAGGGAGTGCAATGAATGCTGTTCTGAGGTATTGGGACAAGAACATTCCTGCCAGGAAAACAAGTCACAAATTAGTTCCATGAATCTCTGTATTTTGCTGCTATTATTAAGGATTTGTAGATGCAGAGGGGGAAATGAAAGGGCAATTTAATTTCTTACTTTGGAAATAACAGCGAGGCATTCACCAAAAGAAGAAATGGTTTTGGATACATTAAGCTTGACCTTTAGGTTATGCTATGGTAAAACACTCAGCTAATATTTGTCTTTGAAAGCACTGGAGCAAAGTTGCATATAGGCCTTTATTTCCAGTACATAAGCACTTTAAGTTTGATAGCTCCCTGTTAGCTGATCTGTGGCCATAGGCCACTCTCAGATCTTCATTTATGTCAGGTAATGCCATGCATTATTGATTTCAACTGAGGAGATGCTTATTAATAAGATTTAGTGTATTAGATTGTAAGACTACCAGAAAGACCATCTATGGCATCATAGCGATCCAGAAAGCTGGAATAACTCTTTGCATTCCTATATAATTTTCATTAGATGCTTGCCATAGTTTTCAGTGTTAACAACTTGTTTAGGACATCAGCTTGTTTAGACCTATTGCAGGTCTGAGGATCTAAGACCCATATGGAAAACTATGTGAAGACTGCAACAGCTTCTGTATTACAAGACATTAAAAATGTTAAGACTAGATTCGTTTTGGAAGAAGATGAGTAAAAGGTAACATGACAGAGGCATGTAAGGCAATAAATGGCACAAAAGGTCAGCTGGAGGCTCCTGGTTTTACTTTTCATAATACAGGAATCCAATTAGATTAAAAGGCTATTCATTAAAAACTGATAGGAGGAAACACTACACTCTTCTCACATACAGCAGTATTAGGCAGTGGAATTCATGAGTGTGAGGTATTACAGAGACTTTAGGATTGTCCCAAAAGAGGGAATGTTCACAGAGGCAGAACATACATCTTTAGTATAAAAGGTTTAAAGGGGATATAGACTCACACCTTAGGCTACACATTAAGCACAAGAGACTTGGTACAAAGCTCAGAAAAGCTGGCCCAGATACTCCCTTTCATTTCAGAGGGATTTGTTCCTATCCATGGCACCTTGTTGATGAAGGGAATGCCCTCATATAATTTCATTCCTGGCCCTAATGGGAATGATACGCTTTCTGTCCTCAGCAACTACAGCAGTAGTTTTTGGTGTTGCAAGTCCCAGAATAAAGAAGCCATCAATCTGAGTGTGATGACAGCGACAGAGGAAAAAATATCCCTAATTCCACTCTTGAATGAAAAACATTCAGCCTTACATTTAAGTGACAGAACCTTATATATCTTTCTGTCAGAAAGATGAATAATTATAATAAATTAAGGACAACTTTTTAAAGAAAACCTTTAGAAAGCACCTTCTTCAAGTTAAGTAACTGTAAGAATACCCAGGCAATAAGATAGTGCCTCATCTTGGTGACTGCTCGTCTGATATCCGTTACAGTAATGATGCAATATTGTTTTAGCATTGTCATTATTTATTAGCACACCAAAAAAATGTTATCCAGATTAGGCTCCTATTATGCTGGGAATTGTGTATACACATAGTAAGATAAGTGCTGCTAAAAAGCACTTGTGATCTCAATTTAAATTAAGCACAACAGGTATAAGTAACAAACAAATGCAGACCGTGAGAGAAAATGGCTAAAAGCTCTAAAGTGCCCAGAGGCTCTTCATGTTTGCTGTTCTTTTTTAAGAATCATAGTAAATGAATTGTTGGGGGAAAAGTGTCTTAGGCACGGGGCTTGAAGCGGATACATCACTGAAAAACAAAGTCTGAGATTCATAATCATAAACATTTATACAGGAAATCTGATGCTCTGATTTATGCTTATCCAATCAGGGATTTAAAATATGCCGTGTAACCACAGACAAGAATCAAAGCTGCTCCAAACACACTTCCAAGACACTCAGAACTGACAAGCTTTAGACCAAGATTTATCAGTAGAAACTATTTCGGCATAGCGTGTTGCCAATAAACATGTTTCAGAAAGTTGCAATCACAGAGTATTCACAGAAAGCAGAGTGGATCAAACTGCCACCAAAATTCACTCCGAATCAAATGAATGAGGACTTGAATGGAACTGTTTCCCGTTTGAAAATGTCATTCTTCCAAAATCAAAATATGTTGTGAAACTGTGTTAATTTTGGCCAGGAGGTGTAAAAGAATATCGACAATGATGACATGTCTCGATTCGGAGTTTTAGAATAATAGTCTCGGTTGTTTCTTTGCGAGATGATTGAAATTCCACTTTTTCACCTGATAAAACACAAATATCAGCACCAAAGCAAAACGATTCCATTCTGAAAGCTGGCCAAGCTCCACCTAAAACCAGGGTTTGGTTAGGTTTTTTTCATCCATTCCTGTTACATCACTGCTTATAAAAACCTGCTCATGTCTGAGCTAAATGTATTCATGAACCCATCTGTTAGGTCCTTTTATAGCTTGAACAAGACGACATGGGCTGAGACCTACAAAAAGTCATCCTCAGAACAAACAGTACCTCTCTAGAGCTGGCTGCAGGAGGGAATCCGTCCTCCAATGGGTTTTCAAGCTGAATTTGCTTAGAAATGTTGAAGATTTTGAAATACATCTCCCTTTCTCCACTCCATTTTGAAATGCTGAAACAAAACTCAAGCTGTTCTTTGCCCTTCTGGGTTGCGTGTTCGCCTTTACTTGTGCTGGACTGTTCCTGTTCAGAGCCTTATACCCACTCATTCAAGATATGCACTACCAATATCTTATCTTTTCTCTGGCTGCATAGCACATGTGGCTGAAGTGCTTTGGTGCCTTTCAGTAAAATGAAGAGGAACTAATTTGGTTCAATCTCTAGAAGTAAGTAGCTTTGGCTGGGAAATCCCATTCTCCCACCTTCTTTTTCAATCCCATTTCTGAGCTGCTCCCTCCATTCCTCCCGGCTATTTCCTGCCATTGCACATACTCTGCAGATGCACAATCCTCTAGAGACTAGGGAGGAAGGATTTGACAAAGGTCTCTCAGACAAGGCACTCTAAAAGTGACAAAAACTTAAAACCCTGCTGAGCTAAATGCAACGTGAAAAGGGCAAAGCTAAAGTCAGCTCAGCAGAACCAGTCCCTCCCTTTGCTCAGAAGACACTGGCTCAGCAGAGACCAGGGCTGGCCTGCTGTTACCTTTCAGGTTTGAACAAGAGGACTTTTAATGTAGGACTCAGGTGGGAGAAGGAAAAGGTCTGTGCCTGATGACATTTCTTATGTCTGATCCCATCTGTGGCCACCAAAGGTGCACCTGGCATCTTTGATGGTGTCTGGAAGGTGTCATGCTGCCAGCAAACATTCTTAAGTGGCTGAGCCATAGCATGAGCTCAGAAGGGAAAACCTGTTATGCTTAGCCCGAACGTTTGAATTAAAAGGAAGAGATGAAGGTGTTAAGAGCAGATGTCTCCCATACTGTATGTCCCTCTGTTTATTACACAAGCAATCCACTGCTTCAACCCATGCAGAAATAACAAAGGTACGTAGTCAAAAAGAGAAGTCTCAAAGGGAGACAAAAGCTCCAGAGATTGACTGGGAGGTCTCTGAAGATGTGGCTTCAATATTAGCACATTGGGATCACATCAAAACCAACAGGGGATTGACCAACAGATTTGGGCTGAGGGTTGATAGAAACAAGGGCATCCATGG